GACCTGACTTCTAGCGACCGCTCCTTGGGTTTCCGCGATGGTATCTCTACGGGAGTAGATTGCCCAACCTTCCTTCTGAGGAGTGGCTGGTAGTTTTGTACCACCAGCCTTCTGGTTAGCAGTCAAGTGCCTTAGGCACCACACTACCAGAGCTCCCAGGCTAATACTAGAAACAGCTTTTTATTATTATTAATTTTTTTCAAGAAACTACAAACATTTTTAAATAAATTTTGGAAATTTTCACCAGAATTTGGTAAGATTATCATCAAATGTTCACTGAGCTTCCACCAGGCACATTCTACTGTGTTAGGCATGAGACTACAGAAATTAGTAAAAAACAGTTCTTGCTCTCAAAAAATGCAGTGATGGTGGGGGTCTAGGTACAAGGACAAATCATAATACAAATGGAAATAACAGAGTGAGGTGTAGGGTAACAGTAAAGTAAGGACTGGTGCCTTATTTGGCCAACAGGTGGTAGGCCAGTTTACTGGAGGAAGAGCACAAAGAGCCTGCAGAAGAGGGTGGGCTGTTCATTCCAGGCAGAGAGCAAAACTTAGGCACAGACGCAGAGGCAAGAAGTAGTGCAGTAGCCTGGCACATGGGTGGATTCCCAAGAGGGTCATGGTTGCTGAGCAAAGCAAGGAAGGCAGGGAATCAACACAGATAAGGCTGGAGAGGTGGGCCAGGTCCAGATCATGCCATATATCAACCCACTGAAGGGTTTTATGCAGGTAAATAACCTGCTTAGACTTATCCTTTAACTAGTCTAGTTAAAGAATGGAGTTAAAGCCATTCAGCCACAGATCAATCCCTGGCTCTAGGGCTTACAGCTATGGGAACTTTGGCAAGATATGAAACCTTCTAAGTCTTGGTCTTATCAATTGCAAAATGGGGAGGAAATGAAAGAATGAATGCAAAGCATTGGGACACAGTAAATATTCAAGACCATTTGAGAAATATTTAGGAACTGAAAAAACTTGATGACAACCTACCTGGCTTCGGGGGTGTGGGTTAGGGAGGAGGCACCAATGCTGAGCCTCACTCAGGTCTAGAAGGGGTGACTGAGTGTCTGGTGGTACCCATGACAAAGAAAATGTGGAAGGCAGAACGAGTCTGGGAGTTTAAGCTACACTGAGGAGGACAACATTCTCATTTGGATTCCAGGGACCTAAAAAAAGGCTCTGTTTGCCAAGGATGGCAGGGACATACGGAAGGCTGACAACAGGAAAGGAGACAGGTGGTGAGTGTATAAGTGCTGCCAACTAGTGAATAGAGGAGCACAGCACAGTACCCTGCTTACATAGATAACATAGAAACAAAACAAAGAAAATTAAAATCATGGGCAAGTCACTCCAACATACAATCACAAATTAAATATAAACACAAAAATGTCACAATGTCTTAGAGACAACAGAGCATCACAATCTACACAAAGAAGCAAGATAAAGCAGGAGAAACAAGGGACCAGGATACAGATCCAAAACATATCCCTGAGGAAGATGGAGCATTGGAACTCCCTGATAAGGAATTCAAAAGAACTATATTTAGGTATCTTCAATGAATTGAGACAGATCAAGGAAAACACTGACAATATTGAGGAATATATAGAGAAAACCCTACAACAAGTTCAAAAGACAATACAAGAACAAAATGAAAAAATAAATGAAAAATTGGAAAAGATATAAAATCTACACATAGAAATCCAGAAGATTAATACTAAATTTTCAGAAATAGATAACACATTGAATTGGCAAAGGAGTAGAACTGAATCAATGGAAGACAGAATTAGTTAGACTGAAGGCAAATACCTGAATACTTCTTTGGAAAATGATCAATCAGAAAAAGATCAAAATAAAATGAAGAAAACCTAAGGTTCATGTGGGATACCTTCAAAAGGAATAACCTACATGTAATTGGAATTCCAGTACAGGAAGAGACAAATAAAACCACAGAGAAAATTGTCGAAGATTTGTTGGAAGAGAATTTCCTGGTATGATGAAAGATGAGAATATATCCATTCAAGAAGTCCAATGAACCCCAAACAGGATAGACCCCAAAAGAAAATCACCAATACATATCATCATCAAACTCACCAAAAGCAAAGACATAGAAAGAATCATGAGAGCAGCATGGGAAAAATGAAAAGTTACCTACAAGGGGCAACCAATAAGGCTAAGTTTGGATTTCTCAGCAGAAACCATGCAGGCAAGAAGACAATGGGATGGTATATATAAAACCCTGAAAGAGAAAAATTTCCAACTAAGAATCATGTACCCAGCAAAACTGCCCCTCAAATATGATGGTGAAATTAGGACATTTCCAGATGAGCAGAAATTAAGGAAATTTGTTAAAACCAGACCAACCTTCCAAGAGATGTAAAGGGAGCCCTTTGGACAGAGAAGCAACAACAGCAAACAACAACTAACCATTAACACACACGATGACATAACCCAGAAACCAACCCATCTATGGAAGCATCCAAAGTAAATAGGCCTAAAAGATTGTAAACAGGGAACCAGAGACATCAATTGACAAATGAGGACAACTACGAATCAAAAAGAGGAAAAAACTATGTAGTTAGAGAACTTCTAAATGGTAGGGAAGTCAAGACAACTATAAGATAGAACGGACTGTTCTAAGCTTGGGAAGAAAACTATAAATCACAGGGTAACCTCAAAGAAAAATGATAAACCTTCACATCAAAGTAAAAAAGAGGACCAGCACCAATATTCAGCAAATACTAAAACAATAGCAACAAAGGAAGTGATAACACGATTCATAAACAAAATGAGCTCAGCACAGAAAATTATATGGAACAAAGAAATCAACACCATGGAAAGCACAGAAGACAAACGAGAGCAACAAATTCATACTTGTTGATAATTGCACATCTGGCAAGGGACTTACCCCTAAGATCTACAGAAAACTCCAATGCCTCAACAGCAAAGGAATGAACAATCTAATTGAAAAATGGGCAGAAGACATGAATAGACACTTCACCAAGGAGGATATTCAGGTGGCCAGCAAATACATGAAGAGATGCTCATGACCATTGGCCATCAGAGAGATGCAAATCAAAACAATGAGATACTATCTCACCCCAGCACTGATGGCAAGGTTCAGTGAGACAGAAAATAACAAATGCTGGCAGGGATGTGGAGAGATTGGTACTCTTATATGCTGCTGGTAGGACTAAGAAGTGATACAACCACTGTGGGAAGCAGTATGCTGATCTCTTAGAAAGCTGGAATTGGTGATACCATTTGACCCAGTAATCCCATTACTAGGTATATATCCTAGAGAGGTGAGCGTCATGACAGGAACAGAGATATGCATACCCATGTTCACTGTAGCACTATTTACAAAGCAAAAAGATGGAAACAACCTAGCCCATCAATGGAGGAATAGATGACCAAACTATGGTATATACACACAATGGAATGCTATGAAGCATTAAAGAATAAGGTAGAGTCTGCAAAACCCCACATAACATGGATGAACTTGGAGGACATTATGTTGAGTGAAATAAGTCAATCACAGAAGAAGTTCGTTTTTCTGGAGGGCCAAGGAAAGGTTTACATAAGGAGGGAAACTTTCTTTGTTGGTTGGCAGGGGTGGAAGGGGAGGGGAGGGAACACAGCAAAAAAAAAAAAAAAAAAAAGAAAAGAAAACTGCATTGACCCATGTCAGTTTAGTTTTGTGTATTTCACTGTACATAAATTATATTTCAATAAAATGCATTTAAAAAAAAAAAGTAGTGGAGCCCAATATCATTATGCCTTATGCGAGACCATGGCAGGTAGTTCGCTGTGCCTGTTATAGATGGAATTATGTCCTCCAAAACATGTTATAAATCCTAACCTCTATGCCTATGATTATAATCCCATTCAGGAATGGGTTGTCTTTGTTATGTTAATGAGGCAAGATTAGTGTACAAAGTATCTTGAGTCAATCTCTTTTGGAAATACAAGAGAGATTGAACAAGCAAGCAGAGCACAGATGGAAGATTGATACCAAGCCACATGGAGATCCCCAAGGAACCAGGAAACAAGCTAAAGAAACAAAGACCTTCCCCCAGAGCCAACAGGGAAAGAAAGCTTTCCCCTGGAGTAGGCACCCTAAATCTAGACTTCTAGCCTCTTAAACTCTGAGAATATAAATTTTTGTTTGTTAAAGCCACCCACTTGTGGTATTTCTATCATAGCAACACTGAGACCAAGCCCTTTTAAACAATTTCTCCTCTAATTTGAATTCCCAATGCCATGGGCAGTACCCTTAACATAGTTAAGAATCCAATTAATTTGTGAATGAAAGTGATCAGGGCCATGATGGTTTGGATGCATAGTTTTCAATAGTCCTGAATGAGTATCAAGTTCAAATCTTCACTTTGAGAAACAAGCCTCCAATGTACAACAACCACCCCCTGCTTGCTTTACAGGGGTTGTCAATTGTTTTAAATGAAAGGGGTCTGGATCTGCTTCTGAAAGGTGACAGCCTTGAAAGCCCTACGGAGCAGTTCTGTTCTGCCTCGGAAACCCAAAGGGGGTCGTTCATTATGAGTTGGAATCAACTTGATGGCAGTGAGTTTGGTTTTGGTTTTTATATTTATACTTTTCCAATCCCTCTCACATACATTAAATATTCACCTGGGAGGCAGGCAACCTATGCATCATGCCCATTTCAAAGATGAGGAGAGAGAATGTAACATTTATGTGATTACAGAGAGGGGTTTCCACAGAGCCCAGCACCAGAACCCCAAGTCACATTTTTATAAATATGTTAGTATTTCTCTATTATCCTTGTAACAGTAAGTGCTAACATCTAAGTAGTATCTACAGTTTTATAAAGCAAAAGCCATTCTGATTCGAGCAATTTTATATGTAATGATTAAATGGTTTTGTTTTCTCAGTTCTTAGTGAGAGTCAAGCCTATCATCTATAACAGAAAATAAAAAGCATAGCCCACTGCACATAGTAGGGGAAAAGCGATTCCATACTTACCTATCGCACAATGCAAAATCTAAAGATAAAAAGAAGAAAAAAATGGAGTGTTAGTAAAAATCAATAACATTATAGTTTTATTCATCAAACTAGCCTTTCAGTAAGGTTCGAGCAATGTTTGCCAGCAGTATTGAATATGAAATACTAACATTCCATTTTAAAAAGTGGCTACAGGCTATTTCACAAAATGTAAATTCTCGTTCATTTTTTGTTTTGGTCTGTTTTCTCATTTTCAGTTTGTGTGTCTGTGGAAGATTACCTAAGAATTAAAACTCATCAGGTAGTTTATCAGACATCAAGGTCCTCTTTTATTAATACATAAAACAAAATGAGAGCAATACGTGCATAGCACCTCTCATGTCTCACATTCTACAGCATTGTCACAAACTATGGGCCAGGGGGTAAGAAGAGCCTTTGCTGGCTCTTCTTGCCTGACAGCCCTTTCAATGTAGACATTCATTTTACAAAGGTCCACCCTTTGTCCCCACCTTGTCTCATTCTGTAATCTCACTAAAGGGTGTTCCCAGGTCTAATCTTTAACTCTAGATCTCTTTGAGCTCTAGGCCCTGATTCCAAACTGCCTTTGGACAGCTCTGTCTAGTTGTACCAGCAGCAGCTCAAACAGGGCACGCCTCAAAGGGATGCATACACACCTTTCCTTTCTACATACCAGCTATGCCTCCTCAACACCAAATTCTTAGTCTCGTGGGTTTTCCCCTTTCCCACACCCCTAAGCAAAACTGGTTTCTAAGTCTAACCAAAGCTTCGGCATTTTTATTTCCAGTGGCTTGGGTGAGACTGCCATCTCCTCTCCAATGGGAGGTCTCATTAGCCAGTCAACTGTCCGATTAAAAACCCAAACCCACTGACAGTGAGTCGATTCTGACTTATAGTGACCCTATAGGACAGAATAGAACTGCCCCAAAAGGTTTCTAGGCTGTAAATCTTTATGGAAGCAGATTGCCTCATCTTTCTCCTGTGGAGTGGCTGGTGGGTTTGAACCAACAACTTTTTGGTTAGCAGCTCAATGCTTTAACCACAGAGCCACCAGAGCTCCTTAACTGGCCAATTAGGTTCTTCTAAATCCCTTTCCAACACAGTCTTCATATAGCATTGCTTCAGCACTGGTGGTAGTGGTGGTGTAAAGAAGTAATTTGAAATCATCTACAGGATTGATTTAATGACCCAAATCTTTCTAGATGACAAAACCTAACAGGTATTATAGTGAATTTTAAAATTTACATTTTTCTAGCAGTCATTGTGTTGATTGGTCCTAACAATAACCCTGGCAAATAGGCAGGGCAGATATCGCCTCTACCTGAGATGAGGAAACCAAGGCTCAGAGAAGCTGCACAACTTGCCCAAGACAGTAAGTGACAGCCAAGATCAGGACCCTGGGATTTATTTCTACTCCACTGCTTTTTTTTTTTTTTTTTTTTAAATATCACATTATTCCATTGTACATTACTTATTAGACATGTATAGGGGCTGGACTTGACAAGACTGAGCTTATCTAAAACCAGGGAACACTGCCTGGTCCTGTGCCATCCTCATGATCACTGCCATGCTTGAGCCCATCTAAAACACGCCTAATACGATTCTATGCTTAAAAATTATTTTACTGTTTTTTGGGTGGGGAGCAGGGGTGCTTTGGATGAAAAACTAAGCTGCAAAAATTTATCGGTAACATATGAGAGAACAAAAGAATCACCATACTGCAAATCTTAGAATCTTCTTCAAAGCAAAACACAGCTCGAATCTCAAATGTGTGACTATTTCAAGATAAACTGAATCTCTTGCTGCAAAGTTGAGAAAAACTAAAAGGTATCTCTAGATTAAAACAAGGAATGAAAGACATGAATGAAGACAAGAAGACAGACGACAGAGCCTGGACAATCTATTCTATGCATGTATGCGTCAAGACATCCAGGCTGCTGATCAACCACAGGACACAGCAGGAAAGGAAATGGAGCCTTAAGAATGATCACATTTTCTTTGCACAGTAGAACACTAGTTCTCAATTCTATCAGACGCAACATCTTTTTTATTATACGTATTTTATTATGTTTCCTTTACTATCTTGAAAAATTCATAGATGATAGAACCTGCCTACACAAAATTTTAAAAAATAAATATAATACCCTAACTGACTTTTAAGGAAAAATAAAAAGGAAGTATTAAAAAATGTATTTGTTTTGATATGAAAATGCTTGGGGACATAATGATACAACAAGCAGTCAAGTACACGGACCTACTTGTGATTAATAAATTTGAATTTAAAAATAAGAAGATCAGAAGCCACTATGAACAAGTACAGAAAAGTGAAAGAGCACACAAATGTACAGACCAAGACTAGAACAAAAAACATTAAGATAAGTCTGACTTATAACAAATGGGGTACTAACCTTAACCAAAGGCAATGTCATAGGTCAAGGTAAATGACAAGGTAGAGAAAATGAGGAAGTAGGATATTAATGACAATGAGCCAGATCTCATCTATAAGTAAGTGTGGTGTTAAAATAATTTCCTAGGTTATGTCATGGCATAGGGTAGGAAGAAAGTATCACAGAAAACTTATTCTCCTGTCCTGAAATCTCACTGAGACATATAATCAGTGTCGAGTATATAAAAAGACCCTGGAAATAGAAGAAGGATTGGATAAAAACACACAAACCAATACAGAAATGCAAGAGGCAATAAAGCAATTGTATAACAGATAAGGGGTAGTTTTAAGATAAATAAAAATTACAGCTATCTGAAAATAAAATTTCAATTTCACAACTTAGATTTCTTTTCTCATTACACATACACAAACATTATGAAATATTAAAATAGATATGAAAGAAATGCAATGAGATGCCTGCATGTCATATGTCCACTAATTTAATAATTGGAGTCTGAACAGAAACCTCAAATCTCCTGTTACATATTTCCAATCAGTTTCATTGTTTTTGCAGTAACCACACTGTAAGACTTTTCAACTAAATATGCAAGTTGGAAACACTATAATACTTTAACAGAACAGAATGTGCAGAGTGAATAAATTACTCAATTATTTTGAGACAAAATCTTTATTTCATTAAGCTTCCCTCTTCAAATCAACTGTGGCAGGCAGAATTCTAAAGATTCCTGTTCCTTGGTTATTCTATCAAACACTAATCTAGGTATTGCTGTGTAGGCATTTTGTAGAGGTAATTAAAGGCCCAAGTCAATTGATCTTCAGATTTAGAGATTATATGGGTGGCCCTGACCCAATCAGGACAGCCATTAAATGTATAGTTTTCTTCCTCTGTTAGCAGAAGAGGAAGTCAGAGAAATTCAAAAAAGAGGAATTGCTGGCTTTGAAGACAGAGGGGTCACATGCAAGGAGTGGAGAGTAGCCTCTAGGACCTAGGAGCTGAAAGCTCACAAGGAAACAGAGACCTCAGATCTACAACCACAAGGGAACAGATTCTGCCAATAACTTGAACTTGAAAGAAGAATCTTCCCAGAGCCTGCAAGTAAGAGCCTGGCCTTGCAGACTACTTGGTTTTGATCTTGTGAGACCCTGAGGAAAGAAACCAGTGAAGCCCAGCTTCTAACTTACAGAACCACGAGCTAATAAATTAGTGTTGTTTTAAGTTGCTAAATCTGTGGTATTCTGATATGCCAAAATAGAAAACTAATATACCAAACTTCTCCTAACTTAGTAACTTTTTCATTGCACTTCTCATTTAGATGTTTCTCAAAATTAATAGTTATTACAAACAATTTATAATTCTATTCACATATATAACAAATCATATATATAGGGGACACAGTTACAGAGGCTTCTTACACATACTCAAACAACTTGTGAGATTAGTTCACTGGGTTAGAAGGCTTGGGACCACGGTCTCAGGGGACAATTTAGTTAATTGGTATAACATAGTTCACAAAGATAGTGTTCTACATCCTACACCTGGGGTCTTAAAAGCTTGCAAGCAGCCATCTGTGATATGGCTATGAGTTTTTACTTATATGGAGCAAAAGAAAATGAAGGTAATCAAAGGCTAAAAGAAGGAACTAATCCATGGGACTAACAGCCCACAAGAACCACAGCTTTCTCTAACCTGAGACCAGAATTAGATGGTGCCTGGCTACCACTACCCACACTTCTGACTAGGGACACAATTAAAAAACAAACAAACAAACAAAAAAAACACCAAACATACTGCCATCGAATCAATTCTGACTCAGCAACTCCCACTAGGTTTCTGAGGCTGTAAAGCTTTACGGAAGTAGATTACCTCATCTTCTTTCTGCGAAGCAGCTCATGGGTTTGAACTGCTGACTTTCTGGTTAGCAGCCAAATGCCTTATCCCTTATGCCACTAGGGCTCCTTGGGACATAATAGAAGGCCCCAGATAGAATGGGGGGAAAATGTAGAACAAAAATCAAATTTCTAACAAAAGGCCAGACTTACTGGACTGCGGGAGAAAGGGGATTAAAAGGCCCAGGAATCAGGACAGAGGAGCAGTCAGCCTCAGGGATCCAGGTGAGGAGAAGGAACCCAGGCACGCCCAAAGCAGCAGGGCAGGAGAGCAGGAGAAAGGGGATTAAAAGGCCCAGGAACCAGGACAGAGGAGCAGCCAGCCGCAGGGATCCAGGTGAGGAGAGAGAACCCAGGCATGCCCAAAGAAGCAGGGCAGGAGAGTGGGACAAAGGGGATTAAAAGCCAGGAATCCGGACAGAGGAGCAGTCAGCCACAGGGATCCAAGTGAGGAGAGGGAACTCAGGCACACCCAAAGCAGCAGGGCGGGAGAGTGGGAGAAAGGGGATTAAAAGGCAAGCAACCCGGACAAAGGAGGAGTCAGCTGCAGAGACCCAGGTAAGGGTGGTACGAGAGGTTTCCAACAGGGAGAAAAACCTGTCTTTGGTTTGTCCTACCATGGTGACGTGTTGATGTGAGTTTTGAGGCTGAGCCACTGGTGTTTCAAACCCAGCGGGAGGCACATGGTGCACAGGTATCAGCCCAACTTACAGACTGAGACACACTAG